CTAGTAATTTATAGTATTTTAAGTTAAGGTCTTCTTTTTGCTGCTAAGGCTAACCTGGGCGGAGCCTAGTTTGTTTACACGGAATTCAAACCGTGGTATCGGTCTAGGAACAACCGAGGAAGCGACCTAAAAAATATACAGGGAGCTCTAATATTTCGTGGACATAGAACAACTACGTATTTTTTGGATTAAAATAAGTTAATTTCACATAATTTACCTTTATACAAAAGTGCTGATTGTCGATTGTCTGTTGGAGGACCATCAATTAAAAATAAACCCGAACGTTAATTAATTTAAATATAATTTGTGATACTACATACATAAAACTACTGTACTACATACTACAAACATAAAATTCCATATTTTCGCCAACTAGATTGTTTTGAAACACAATAGATTTTATGCGCCTCCAATAACTAAATGTGACAAAAAACATTTTTCGGTTTTGGAAAAATATCTTTTTCCTAGTAAACATGGCGATTTTATACAAGAGACAAAAATGTAGTAAATACTAGAGGGACTATTTTACAAAAAGAAAATTGGCCGTCGATGGAGTTAAATTAAAAAAAATATTTGTACTAAAATTTATGTAGGGGTAATGCTGGTTTTCACCTTTCCCATACTTTTTCTTAAATTTTATGAAAGTCAAATGTTAGAGCACTTAGCAAAACATAGACACCCAAAATCTCATTCAATTCTGAATAAGGGTTTTTAAAATATCTGAAAAAATGTGTATAGTTTTTTAAAGTTCGATGCCCTCTAGTGGACAAACAAAGCACTTTTGTATAGAGATAAATTGTGTCTAATGAACTTATTTTGATTCCAAAAGTACGTAGTAGTTCTATGTCCATGCAATATTGGGACACCCTGTATTCTTCTTACAGTGCTATACTCTATATAAAGCGTCGGCTACCTCTCGCATGTACTTGTGATGTGTGTCATCAGTGTACATGTACATGTATATCCCTTTGTTATTGCGAAGTGCCACACTGATGCGGCACATAACAGTAGAGAGTGTGCTACGCAAGCTAGAATTCTACGTTTTGATTGGTCCTCCTATATTAGGCATCAACCTACCGAGTGCGGTCAAAGTCCTTTCCGTCTTTTCTATGATTTGATTTATATGCTCGCCGAATGTAAGCTTTGAATCAAGCCAAACTTTAGTGTAATTGTTATCCCAAGAAGTTCAAATGAAATATGAGAGAGTTTCCTCTTGGTGGTTAATAAAATCGCTTCAGTTTTGGTACAGTACTATTATAAGGATCCTTGATGAGATAGGTAGTTCAGAGATAGTAACAGAAACATCAAAATAAAATATCTTATTTGAAAAACGTTACAATATACTGTAGAGTAAAATTAGTTGAATGTATTTAGGTATCCACCTACTCCTCGTTAAAAATACAAGTATGTACAAGTTTTTATTTATATATTCTCAGCATTATACATGCAGTTGTTTAATTTAACAAAGTACCGAACAAGATAAAATGATAAAAGTCTTAAAAGGGAAACAATTCAGAGTCAACAATTAAGTGTAGTAGTTTCGCTCATTTGCATCTAGTAACGGTCCGCCACCGTCATATCGCTTCAGTCGCATTAAACCTTTATTTAATTTCTATTTTCTCTCCGCATTTGCATTTTCAAAAATAAACGCGCGCGCTCGAACAACGCTCGCTCCTCTCTCTTTCTGCAAATTTAAATTTTAACGACGCTCGAGGCGATCCGGGCCGTAAAGTTTTACGTCGGCCGCGACGCATAACCCTAGCAAAAAGCTAGTAAAGAATTAATCAAGCAGCCAGCTTGCTCGCGAAATCATACGTTCGTGTACAGTCAGTGAAATTCTAATTGTCGGGCGAGATCGTTTCGTCCGGGGCGAAATGGCGAATTCGTATGCGAACGATATGCCGCTACGAATTAGCCCGTTTGAAGAAATCCACTCGTTTGACTTTATTCGAGGCAAATTTTGACGGTGGAATAATTCGTGAAAGGTTTAATGGGACGAGTCAATGTGGAAATGAATTAAAGCGTTATAGCAGCTAATAATATAAATAAATAAATATTCAACAATAATTTAATAGGTACGTAATAAGACCTGTGTAATACAGGTCTACCATTCTAAATACGCCGCACCGGATCTATTTTTGTAGCCGATATATTAACGCTTAATATTGCTTGTAAGTGGTCTAAACATACGCTCCAACAACTAGTCACTCAAACGTGGAAGTAGAAGAATTCTATAATGAAATCAACCAAGTATTGGAAAGCAACAATAGTCATTTCAAACATCTAATAGAGAATTTCAATGCAAAGGTGGGAAAACTAAAAGAAAAGGAACAACAACTGGGGAACTTTGGAATTGCAGAACGAAATGAGAGAGAACAGAGACTTGAACAATACGCATATCATTAGAAACTGTTCAGAGCCAATATATTATACTTTAAGAAGAAAACAAATAAAAAATGGGCACGGCAAGCCCCTAACTAGGAATGAAATTGACTTCATTTTAACTATTTTAACAAGATCAACACAGTAAAAGATGTGAGCGTTCTTAGCAAGTTTCGAACAGGCAAATAACCACGGACTCGTCAGATCCAGTCTTCAGAACTCTTCAGAACTCGTCAGAACCAGTCCTTGACATTCGACTAGAAAGACTACAATTGATCAGCAAACAAATAACAACTAGAGTAAACACCAACACACTAAAAGAAGATCCAGTGAATATAACAGCTACTGGACAACAAGCTGCCCAAAAAAGAAACAAACACCCAAACGGTTAATGGACGCTGTACTAAACTGTGCAAAAGAAATTGGAATTGGTTACGCTGTGGGCCAGCAGCGTAACAAAAATAATAAACTGACTGATGAGACGAAAACACTTCTCAGGAAAAGAACAGAAATGAAAACTGAGAGAAGAAAGACGATTGCAGAATACATCAAAAACTACAATGAAAAATTTGTGCAAACAACAAACTGCAATTGAAAACATAGAAAGCTATAAGAACGCTAAGAAACCCCTCATGATGGGAAAGAAGCAGCTAATCAATCGCCTTAACACACAACAGCATCAGAATAACAAACAAAAGCGAAATAATAAGTCTGGTAACAAGGTTCTACAGCGACCTATAACGCACTCGAAAACATACATGAAGAAGAAAGGCTGTCCCTACCACAAAACGACGCCCCAGAAGCTCTTATGGGAGAAGTAGAAAAGACGCTTCAAGATTAAAAAAATGGAAAAGCAGCAGGGAACGACGGAATAACAGCTGAAATACTTAAGTATGCTGGTAGGAGAACTTGGAAAATCCTAGCAAATATTTACAACATATGTCTAAGGAGAAAACATACCAGAAGACTGGAATAGCGCCAACATAATTCTATAATTCATAAAAAAGACAGCAAAGAAGATATCAGAAATTATAGACCAATAATCCTACTACCAGTAACATTCTACTACCAGTAACATACAAGCTAGACGCTGCACAGCCAAGAGAACAAGCAGGCTTATGAAGCGGCTTCAGCACATACATATCCCAAGAGAAACAATCAGTCGAACAAAAGAATATGAACTTCTACTGGCGGGAGAACTTTATAGACTTTGAGAAGGCTTTCAACTCGATATATCCTAAGGTAACAATAGAAACCCAAGCCAAACAAGGTATTGACAGGCCTTAATATAGAAACTCTCGCCAATACAAAAAAGCCAAAGCAAGAGTAATGATATATAAAACAACATCAGAGTTTCCAACTGGCAAAGGAGTATGGCAGGGAGACGCGAGATTCCTAAATCTGTTTAGAGCAACATTAGAAGAAATCTACCGTCAACTGGACTGGACCAACAAAGGATTAAAAATAGATGAAGAATATCTTAACCATCTAAGATTCGCTGATGACATAGTCTAAATAACTGCCCATAATTCTGAAGAACTATATGCACAAATTGATGAACTAGCAATAATAGAGCCAGCAATAAAGTGGGCCTCAAAATGAATTTAGCAAAAAATAAAGTAATGTACAACGAACTAGTAGAAAGAAAAGGCATTCTAATAAATAACACAACACTGGAAATAGTAGAAGAATATATTATATATTTGGGACAACTAATACACAGCTCGGGATCTCTACTACCAGAAATCAATAGAAGAATCAAGTTAGCATGGAGTACTTATGGAAGAAACACAATCATATTAAATCTAGAATGCCACTTTATCTAAAGAAGAAAACACTCGACCAATGTGTACTACTAGTCATGACCTATGCTTGCGAAACCTGGATACTTAAAACGGACTTTATAAGAAAACTGCAGGTCGCACAACGCTCAATGGTACGAAATATGCTGGGAATAGCCAAGAGAGACCGTAAAAGATTAGAGTGGAAACGGAAAACGACCCAGGTAATAGATGTCATCCACAGAGTCAAATCCCTCCAATAACAAGGAAACCAGCAAGAAGGACGGACAACAGATGGACCACTAAAATTACAGCATGATACCCACAAGGAATTAAGAGACCTAGAAGAAGACCGAACCTGAGATGGGACCATAAAATTAGGAAATTAGCAGGGAAAACTTGGGCCCGCATAGTTAACGATAGACAACAATGGGCCCAACTACTTTATGCGAGGGAGGCTACACCATAATTGAAGATGGTTGAATAAGCTGAAAATGATAATGATGATGATATTAACGCTTAACTTTTTTAATAAAAATAAAAATCTGCTGTCCCAGAATATGCTGTCGAAATTTCCCGAATTCGGACTACTTTGTATATTTAGAATTTCCAGTATATTTTTAAAAGTTTTTTCTCTACTTCTATAGCGAAACGCCACAGACTAAACTAAAAAGTCGTTCCATCGTTCGACATCATCTTTCTCCTTATAGAACGGTTCCATTACTTATTCACGGACTCGGTGGCCATCAGGCGGCGCTGCCGTGGCTTGCCCTTTTATAATAAATGCGGCCGCCATATTTCATAACGTAAAATATTTGGAATCGCTTCAAAGGCCCGTTACAGTCCCAGCGGAGATTTTGTCACGTTCGGAAGGCTCAACATCTCGGGAGCGGGGTCAATTGGAGCCCTGGGAGGCCCCAGTTTACCGCTGCTACTGCTACCATCGAGGGAGGAAATGTATGCATCGGGCGACTGACTTCTGACTGGCCCGTCTTGAATTTATTATGAGTCGGCATTTTCTAAATGGAAATTTTATATATTTATATCGGACGGCCGGCGGTGGGTGTTCTTCCATCTCTTTGTTTTTCCGACTGATGGTTCGCCCACACGGTTCTGATCTCCGCTTAAGATGTTTAATGTTCGTTCCAATAAATTCGTATGGTCATTATATATTTATGATTTTATCCTATCAGGTTGGTGTATTTTTGTTTAACTCTTGCGTTTTGTACTATGTTAATATACCGGGTGTTTCTCAAAAGTGGCTCATCCCCTATACCTTTTTTAATTTTTCAGATAAGAAAACTAAATTTGGTATGTTAGTATCATAGGTAACTTTAGATTGCCCACTCCCATGTCATTTTGGAGGCGTATGTATTTTGGCGACATCTGGTAGGAAAAGAAAAATTTTTTTGCACATTAAAGAAATCTGCGTTACATCATTAACCGCCTTTATTTGAATCGGTGTTCTTTCCATTTTTATAACCAGATTTCAACTATTAAGCTACAAGTTCTAGTTAAACCTAAGTTTTGTCTTCAAATTAAAAGACAAAACTTAGGACTAACTAGAGCTAGTAGCTTAAATTAATTTCTATTGAGAATAGTAAAACAACACAGTATTTACATGAGAAAACATTTATTTACCTAATTATTATTATGCTTAAATATACATTAAAATATAATGTTCGTAAAATCTTAAAAAAATTAATACTGGATGTAAAAAGTAGAAGTTTTAGTTTTATCCGGATTAATGTATAGTCAATAAAATTTTGCATAATTTAGTACTTGCTAGTACTTGTTAGTAATTTAGTACTTTACACTTGTTACCAAATAAAGTCTAAATATTTATTTATACCTTTTGCCAAGTTGAATCCAAATCAAAAGTATCAAAGGTCTGAAATAATTAGTATCATCAGTATAAAATGTAACTAGGTTAAAGTGGTAAATCAGCTGAATATATTAAAAATAACAGAGGCCCCACAGACACAGATGGAACTCTGAGAACCTGAACCTGATATAATTTTTGCCATCGAAGAGTACATCTGATCTAGCAACCCTCACTTGGTTCTAAAAACTATATAAACATACTAATTCTTAATCAATGAGCCTTGGAAAAATAGATTCAATCGTCTAATGTTTTTCATTTTTCTTGTCCTGGTCGGTTGAAAGATGTCCAAATCGTATTGTTTTTAATATCTCATTTTTTCAAATTGAACAAGCTTGGCTCGTTAGCATGTTTGGAAAAAGCATTTTTTTCAACTTGTTACCAAATAAAGTAAATAACCATACCAAATCTTAAAAGAATCATTTGTTTACACAATAAAATTCTCGAAATTACATTTTAAATTGACTATTTTTCCATAATTTAAAAAAAAATACACCACCCTTTATGAACTAATTTTAAAAGCACTGAAAGTCGATACGACTGCGAGTCCCTAGCCTGTCGCCTAACTTTCAAAGCAAATTGAAAAACAGAAAAGTGCCCTCTACCTTCTTCCGTGAGCCTCGTTTCGAAAACCTGTTAATGGCGTCAGCTAATTAATTAAATAAACTAGAAACTAAAACTCTGTCGTCCATCAAGAGCGAATATAGTTATAAACATGTAATTTTATGTACCCCAAAGGATTGCCAGTTTGACGTGCTAGAAGCAGAGGCGTAGTCGAGCAGTTTCCGAGGATTTATTTAAAAGTGTATTTTTTCTTTTTCTTTAAGTCTAAGTCTTTTTATTCAAAGATATATCTATTTCAAAGTATAATAAAATTATATAAGAGTTTCTTGCCTTGAACTGCTAATATAGAAATCAATTCCACGCTGTGCTCGACATAATGTGGATCAACCTGCTCTCACTACCGGTTTCGGGGCCCTACCCCATCATCAGGTGAGCTTGAGTCGTTTCCACAATATGTCGAGCACAGCGCAGAGTATATAAATACGACTTGTCATAAAGTAGCGGTAAGATATTAAGTCCCGCATCGCGAGATAGCGGACTGCGTGCAATGGTAGTACTTCCGTACCACCGAGGCACAACTATCGATAGTAAATAAAGGCTTTTTTCGGCTAGCCTAAATTATATAATGGAAAATAAATTTCTTGCAGTTTTTAGGTATATAATAAAATTATATAAGAATTTCTTGCCTTGAACTGCTAATATAGAAATTAATTCCACGCTGTGCTCGACATAATGTGAATCAACCTGCTCTCACTACCGGTTTCGGGGCCCTACCCCATCATCAGGTGAGCATCTACTACCCCATCATCAAGTCGTATTTATATACTCTGCGCTGTGCTCGACATATTATGGAAACGACCCAAGCTCACCTGATGATGGGGTAGGGCCCCGAAACCGGTAGTGAGAGCAGGTTGATTCACATTATGTCGAGCACAGCGTGGAATTTATTTCTATATTAGCAGTTCAAGGCAAGAAACTCTTATATAATTTTATTATATACCTACAAACTGCAAGAAATTTATTTTCCATTATATCTATTTAAAAGTAGATCTTTTGATATTTTTATATTAATTATATAACTTTTGGTAGGATAAGTAGTATAATATATTTAGTTTCATTCAACCGTGTTTTTGGCTAACGGTATAATATAAAATTTAAATAAATTAATAAATTCGTCAATTTTATTGGCTTTGCTTTATCTTTTTGAAAATTTACAAGTTTTGACTTTGTTACTTGTGAAATCGACATATTGATCAATGTATTTTTTAGTATAACTATAGTGTTCAACTCTCTTTGATTTCAAGAACTATCTTGGGATTGTCGCCAGGTTTTTAACAAAACTCAAAGCTCTGGGACTGTATGATAAGTTATAACTCGTTATAACTCAAAAAAGGAGGACACACAATAGATATGTGAGGTCGCAGTGATTAACTCTCCTCCCAAACATTCTACAGCTACATAGTGTTAAACATAGAGAAGGTATATTTACTACTACATAACCACTGTTTATTCTAATCTCGGTCTTCACAGGGCCGGATTTCCGCCTAGGCCTGCAAGGCCCGGGCCAAGGGCCCAGCCAGCCTAGAAGTCCCATGTAATAAGTCGCGCGCAACTTTTATATATAAGCTGAAAAGCCTGGTTTATCAAAACACTTTATCGAAAGTATTAGCTTAAAGGTTAAAGTCATTAAACTCGATTAAAATTATATGTCCTGTTTTGTTTTGTTTTTTTTTCTTGAACAAAACCCTTTTATTTTTAATAATACCTACAAAGCTGTGAAATTATATTTGTTCTTCACACGAGAAATTTTCATAATATGATGACGCTGCTGAGGAAAGTGGGGTAGACGTAGTTACAGAACCGTCAGTGTTTGTTTGAAGTGGTGTTGATCACATTTTATTCTTATGAGATGTATCAAAATACAACCTATGTCCCTGGTTATACAATTCTTCATTGTCACGCACGCCTCTATCATTTGTTCGTCCATTTTGTATTGAAAATTTGAAAAAAACATTCACAGGGACGAAAGTATTTACCCCAAACGCAGAATCAGAACAGAATTTGGCCCCGGCACCTGATTGCACTATATTCACACTGCCGTCCAGTCATCCGACAGTCAGGTCTCGATCTGTTCAAAATATTGTCTCCGAGAAATTACGCGGTCAAAGAGCGTCAGCGTACCGTGAGCGGATTTTCAAATGTGGATGCTTCGTATAAATTACATTGAATAATAAATTTTGACCGTGAGCGGACAGTGACTTGAGCGCCTAGTGGAAATCGGCCATAAAGTCCTAACGCTTTAACCACACGGCCACCGAGGACTTGAAAGATTCTATGTAAAATTCTTACTTAAAAGATAATGTTTAGTGAAAGTACTTTTTATTTATAAACATTTATTTAATTCTGTTTTTAGTATTTGTTCTTATAGCGGCAATATAGATACATTATCTGTGAAAATTTGAACTGTCTAGCTATAACGGTTCATAAGATAGACCTTTGTGACAGACGGACGGACGGACAGCGAAGTCTTAGTAATAGGGTTCCCGTTTTTACTCTTTGGGTACGGAACCCTAAAAATAGAGCCCATCCTGATTCTTATTCGCCGATCAATATTCAAACGTATTACAAAAAAAATCTACCGCACTGGTTGCTAACGACGTTTCACTATCTAAAAAGTCCGCCGTGTGGTGGCGTGTGTGCCCGTATCTATCGTGTAACGCCCTTCGTGGCCCAAAACCGAAAAAATTAATGAACCTTCAGCCCAATCTGATAAACTAATGTTGAAACCGTTTTCGGGGCGATGCATCTTCATTCTGCGTGTCACAACAACGACGTCGACGCACAATTGCCGACGGAATGTTGTCCACATTAAACGAAAATATGTTTTGTTATGTAAAACAGTCGGACACGAAAGTGGGCCCCAAAAGAGCTCGATTTACCGTTGGCCCATGTTATGACATTCCGGAAATTTATGAAAGCGTGTACGCGACCAATCAAAATATGTCACGAAATGTTGTTGGGATGGTCAATTATTTAGTTTAATATAACTTCATTTTAAGGAAAAAAATATTTTTTCATGAAATAATAATAACTATTTTTTTTTAATACAGAGAGTTTTTCATGCAACTATGGTTCATTAAAAGTTTCTTAGAATCTAATTTGTGAGGATGAAGTGTTGGGAATAATCAAATTATTTCAATCCTCGAATATTGATTCTCCAATAATCTAATTATCTAATTGGAAATAAGAATTCCAATAATCGGATGATCATCCGAGAAATCCACGGTCATAAAATTTTCTTTGTTCATATATTATAAAGCACCAACTACTCCAATAATATCTCGATCGCCACCTAAATATTGCTTGGTGCTTTTTACTTGCTTTTTGTTGGCACATTGTTACCATGTACCTAAATGACCCGAATTATATCATAATAAAAACAAATAATTATTTTATATACCAAAGCAAACCTTTGAAGAAGGGCAAAAGGACAATAACTCACAATCTTTAAGTTGTTTAATTTAAATTTTAATGCTTAAAAAAGCA